GCACTCCAACCTTTACTTTTTGTAGTTATTAGTTATTACTCATTTATTAATGTGGCGCTATTTAGATGGAAGATAAAAATTCTTAATTTTTTTTCGATAACATATAGTCTAAATCACTCGTGGCATTATTCTCTATCTGTTTGTAACAACACAACAATCGAACAATCAGTTCAACCATTCCACCCTGATAGACAGACAAAAATTTTAAAAATGGTTATTTACGTCATTGTATCTTAATGGCATACAAGTAAACCCCTTAGTTCAATATAAGACAGTCATTTCGATATTACAAACAGCTGGTTAAATTTTATTTATATATAAGGTAGGTATATAATTTTTTTTAATTAGTCATTATACTGGGTGATTTTTTACCGTCTTTAAAAAAAAGGCTGTAACAGGTGAACGGAATAGAAGGTTAAGGCACTGATATTTTACCATTTTTTTACGTTAACATATTATGAAATTAATTTATCAATAAATACTACTAATTGACTGTGGACTAATTTAAATTTCGATAGTTTTTAATCGATTTATTTATTTAGTTAAAAATGATTTGTTTTTATTATTTCTATTACCGAAATATTATTACAAATAAGCGGTATTTCTTGATAGTTCAATATCATAATATGTTAATGTTAAAGCAAAAAAATTCTAAAATATCAGTGCCATAGGCTTCTATTCCCTTCACCTGCTACGCTCTACCTTTTTCCAAACGGTAAAAAAATCATCTACCGTAACTTATTACATCCTGATCTATATATATAAAATTATTATATAAAATTGAAGAGTCTGTTATATCACAATAAGTGCCTTTTAACCACATTAAAATTTTTGTATGTCTGTGTGTCCGTTCTAATCTTCGATATAGCTAAAACGATTGTAATAAAAATTTATGAACAGATAGAAATCAATGCCAATGTATATATAATATTAAAATATATATAATAAAAATAAATGATCTTCGATGATAAATTTTTTTATAACCAATGTCCTACCCAGGCGAAGACTGGACGGATCGCTAGTCTATTAATAAAACACTTATCAATAAACATAATACATACCATACATAAACACTCACACCTGTCACCCAGAGGGGAAGGCAGAGACTAAGGACTTCCATTTGGCATGATCCTGAAACACCTTTCTCGCCTCCTTTATATCCATATACATGCTCGTCGGTTAAAGGTACTCTTAATCTGGCCCATTTTCAATATATCGTCAATTTGAACGATTAACTTTCGACGTCCCTTCGCGTCTCTTCCGTTCACTTCACTAACATAGATTTGCTTTGTCAATCTTTCTTCGTTCATTCGTTCTATATGGCCAAACCACCGAAGCATTCCTTTCTTAATCCTGATCCCAACATCATCTTGCACCACACTTTTCTCTTATCGCACAATTTCTCACCCTGTCATTCAGATTCAACGCTAACGTACTCCTTAATGATAGAACGCCCAAGCCCTAGTCCTGCTGGAAGGAGCTTCCGGAAGGACAATCCTAGGGACGTGCGTCCTGCTAGCAGTACGCAATATTTTGTGAGTTTTTTATGGATATCAGAGGCTGTCCTTCTAGCAGTACTAGACTTTCATGCGTAATAAAACTAGGCAGGGGTGACAAACATTCTGTAATTTAGTATAGGTATCTAGGAATAGACGCGGGCGCTTCTTGATAATATCAAATAGAGAGAATGACGGGGTAGAAAAATAAACAAGAATATGAAAGGAACTTAGTAAAAAAATATTTATTAAAAAAAAGTTATGCAGGAATTCCATTCGAGATGTGGTAGGTGAAGCAGTTACTTCCTGTCTGTGGAGAGCATAAAACACATCGCAAACCACATGTCTTGCAAAAATAGCTCGCTTTCTGCTGTTTCTTGTGGACTCTCGAAAGAAACTGTACATTTGCGTTGAACTCTATTTCTGTCATCTGATTATGACAAGGCTTCAAGAATGTGTTCTCCGCTATGAGGGATGTTCTCATGTGGTGGCGGCTCATTCTCTTATAGGCTATTAGCGTCATTCTTAGTCAGAGCTAATACCAGGTTGGTAGTAAACCATCTGTGAGACACCTGGTCATGTTCGGGGCGGAAGGAATTATTAAAAATCAAATACGCATTTGTTTCTATAACGCCCAGAACTGAGGCATAAATTCTATGTTGCCATTTATGTGTGCCCCAAGCTTTCTCTAACGCCAATCCGTCCTGCCTGATGTGGTTGTGAATATCGATAGACGCAGCAACATCAAAATACTGCTTGACTAATTTAGGCCTAGCGACTTCTCTGAAAAATAAATGTCCTTCATCGTCCCACCTTCTTTTGCGTGATGGCAGGCCTGGCAGTGTCGTTTCACAAGTGGCAACAAATGTAGGAGTTTTTTTGTCATTCCAGGCACAGGCAATAAGCTGCACTGAGTCTTTTTCAGTTTTACTTACAACAAATGCCCCCTTGTGCGTTGGACACACTGCAGCCATATCCGACACGGGATAGAAACTGTGTGCTGTCTTTACCAGTCCAATGAAATATAATCCAACTTTGTATAACTTCACAGTTGTTTTGACCGAAGCAAACCATGAGTCTCCAACTATAACTTTTCCAGAACCACGCCACGGTTCTGTCAATCTCAAAGTAGTTGCAGTTCCAGCGCCAAATTCTCTTTACCATTTCTTCGTACTCATTGCTTCTTTACCCTCATTAATTGCTAATCTCATCATAATGTTTGTATTACTATCACACGCTGTTTTTACTTCACAATTCACTCCTTTTGGTTTTCTTTTAATTTTCATAACTGCTGGCATCCCGTCTTTAAAGTACGCACCTCTTCCATACCAAGCGAACATGGATTCTGATGGCACTAGAATGATCTCAAACCTTTGACGACTCTATTATACGTGGTAGAGCCATGCTGTCACTATATTACGGTTATAGCACGAATAGGTCGGCTCGACTGGGGAAGAACTACGCTCTTACAGGATACTAGCGTGAAATAGCAGCTTAATACTGCTGTTTTCCCTTGAAACGAGGCATTCCATTTTATAGTTCTCGGAGGTAACAACTCATTCTGTATCTGTATTCTTAATCGAATGAGTTGCCGACGCTAGCTTAGCGATCAAACAGTGCTGAGGGGAATTAAGAACAACCTGCCTCATTTCGCACTCCAACCTTTACTTTTTGTAGTTATTACTCATTTATTAATGTGGCGCTATTTAGATGGAAGATAAAAATTCTTAATTTTTTTTCGATAACATATAGTCTAAATCACTCGTGGCATTATTCTCTATCTGTTTGTAACATCACAACAATCGAACAATCAGTTCAACCATTCCACCCTGATAGACAGACAAAAATTTTAAAAATGGTTATTTATGTCATTGTATCTTAATGGCATACAAGTAAACCCCTTAGTTCAATATAAGGCAGTCATTTCGATATTACAAACAGTTAGTTAAATTTTATTTATATATAGGGAGGTATATAATTTTTTTTAATTAGTCAATATACTGGGTGATTTTTTACCGTCTTTAAAAAAAGGCTGTAACAGGTGAACGGAATAGAAGCTTATGGCACTGATATTTTACCATTTTTTTTTTACGATAACATATTATGAAATTGATTTATCAATAAATACTACTAATTGGCTGTGTGGCTAATTTAAATTTCGATAGTTTTTAATCGATTTATTTATTTAGTTAAAAATGATATGTTTTTATTATTTTTATTACCGAAATATTATTTCAAATAAGTGGTATTTCTTCATAGTTCAATTTCATAATATGTTAATGTTAAAGCAAAAAAATTCTAAAATATCAGTGCCATAGGCTTCTATTCCCTTCACTTGCTACGCCCTATCTTTTTCCAAACGGTAAAAAATCATCTACCGTAACTTATTACATCCTTAATTTATATATATATATATATATATATATATATATTTTAAAATATATATATATATATATATATATATATATATATATATATATATATATATATATATATATATATATATTAAAATTGATAAAATAAATGATCTTTGATGATAGATTTTTTTATAACCAATGTCCTACCCATGCGAAGACTGGACGGATCGCTAGTCTATTAATAAAACACTTATCAATAAACATAATACATACCATACATAAACACTCACACCTGTCACCCGGAGGGGAAGGCAGAAACTAAGGACTTCCATTTGGCATGGTCATGAAACACCTTTCTCAACTCCTTTATATCCATATACATGCTCGTCGGTTAAAGGTACTCTTAATCTGGCCCATTTTCAATATATCGTCAATTTGATCGATTAACTTTCGTCTGGGGCGTCCCTTCGCGTCTCTCCCGTTCACTTCACTAACATAAATTTGCTTTGTCAATCTTTCTTCGTTCATTCGTTCTATATGGCCAAACCACCGAAGCATTCCTTTCTTAATCCTGATCCCAACATCATCTTGCACCACACTTTTCTCTTATCACACAATTTCTCACCCTGTCATTCAGATTCAACGCTAACGTACTCCTTAATGATAGAACGTCCAAGCCTTAGTCCTGCTGGAAGGAGCTTCCGGAAGGACAATCCTAGGGACGTGCGTCCTGCTAGCAGTACGCAATATTTTGTGAGTTTTTATGGATATCAGAGGCTGTCCTTCTAGCAGTACTTGACTTTCATGTGTAATAAAACTAGGCAGGGGTGACAAAAATTCTGTAATTTAGTATAGGTATCTAGGAATAGACGCGGGCGCTTCTTGATAATATCAAATAGAGAGAACGACGGGGTAGAAATATAAACAAGAATATAAAAGGAACTTAGTAAAAAAAATATTTATTAAAAAAAGTTATGCAGGAATTCCATTCGAGATGTGGTAGGTGAAGCAGTTTCTTCCTGTCTGTGGAGAGCATAAAACACATCGCAAACCACATGTCTTGCAAAAATAGCTCGCTTTCTGCTGTTTCTTGTGGACTCTCGAAACAAACTATACACTTGCGTTGAACTCTCTTTCTGTCATCTGATTATGACAAGGCTTCAAGAATGTGTTCTCTGCTATAAGGGATGTTCTCATGTGGTGGCGGCTCATTTTCTTGTAGGTTATTAGCATCATTTTTAGTCAGAGCTAATACCAGGTTGGTAGTAAACCATCTGTGAGACACCTGGTCATGTTCGGCGCGGAAGAAATTATTAAAAATCAAATACGCGTTTGTTTCTATAATGCCCAGAACTGAGGCATAAATTCTATGTTCCCATTTATGTGTGCCCCAAGCTTTCTCTAACGCCAATCCGTCCTGCCTGATGTTGTTGTGAATATCGATAGATGCAGCACCATCAAAATACTGCTGGACTAATTTAGGCCTAGCGACTTCTCTGAAAAATAAATTTCCTTCATCGTTCAACCTTCTTTTGCGTGATGGCAGGCCTGGCAGTGTCGTTTCACAACTGGCAACAAATGTATGAGTTTTTTTGTCTTTCCAGGCACAGGCAATAAGCTGCACTGAGTCTTTTTCAGCTGTACTTACAACAAATGCCCGCTTGTGCGTCGGACACTTTGCAGCCATATCCGACACGGGATAGAAACTGTGTGCTGTCTTTACCTGTACAATGAAACATAATCCAACTTTGAATAACTCCACAGCTGTTTTGACCGAAGCAAACCATGAGTCTCCAACTATAACTCTTCCAGAACCACGCCACGGCTCTGTCAATCTCAAAGTAGTTGCAGTTCCAGCGCCAAATTCTCTTTACCATTTCTTCGTACTCATTGCTTCTTTACCCTCATTAATTTCCAATCTCATCATAATGTTTGTATTACTATCACACGCTGTTTTTACTTCACAATTCACTCCTTTTGATTTTCTTTTAATTTTCATAACTGCTGGCATCCCGTCTTTGAAGTACGCACCTCTTCCATACCAAGCGAACATGGATTCATCTACAGTTATTTTTGCACCAGGACGGATGGTATCTTTTAGTTTATCATTCACCATCATTACTAGTGTTCTGGTGTTACGCCATTTGTCAGAATCATCAAGGTCTGACGGTTGAGTGTTGCGCAGGGCCACTAGAATGATCTCAAACCTTTGACGACCCTATTATACGTGGTAGAGCCATGCTGCAGTTATATTAGTAGTATAGTTGTAGCACGAATGGGTTGGCTCGACCGGGGAGGGACCACGCTCTCACAGAATACCAGCGTCAAATAGTAGCTTAATGCTGTTGTGTTTCGTATGGTGAGTGTAGAGAACCGGAGACCCTTTTTACTGGAAATGAGGCATTCCATCTTAGTCCTCACGGGTGACAACGCATCTGCATTTTGATTCGTAATTGAGGATAGATGTAGATGTCTATGCGCCACAGCAACCATTTACCATCAGGTGGACTGTGTGCTCGTTTGTCACCCTATCCTATAAAAAAAATATATTACGGTTATAGCACGAATAGGTCGGCTCGACTGGGGACGAACTACGCTCTTACAGGATACTAGCGTGAAATAGCAGCTTAATACTGCTGTTTTCCCTTGAAACGAGGCATTCCATTTTAGTTCTCGGAGGTAACAACTCATTCTGTATCTGTATTCTTAATCGAGGATAGATGTAGCATAGACACAGCATTTACTTACCATTAGGCGAACTGTCTGCTCGTTTGTCACCCTTATTATATATTAAAAAAAATATCTTAAAAGCAGCTAAGTTTTATATGACAATAAATTGAACTTGCAATTTTAACTCAAGTGTGAAATAGTTTTAAACTAGACAAGATTAGAAAACGGTGATTTCATAGGTAAAAAAGCAAGTGTTAAAACCCAAAAAATACCAAAAATATTAAAGGAACCAAAGCCTCATGGTGTTAATTATATTATTTTGTATTAGTTAATGCAATAAATAAATACGTAGTATTGTATTTTCTGTTGAAATTGTTAAACTGGCGTCTCACGATCAAAGTACCGAGCTACGGCCTGAATGGCCTTAGCTAATATTAAATCACAATTTATTGGATTTCCGGAAACACATCCTTATCGGAACACATTTGTTGTGAAAATTTCTGTCTTCATATCAAAGCGTACATCGAGTCGTTTTCACGTGTATATGGTTTCGGCTTGGCACGTGATGTGCTTTTCTGCCAAAGATTTCGCTTGGATAGAAACCACCCTCCTACTTATTTTTAACCTTTATAATAGTAATAGTAATGTCCTCCAGACCGAATTTCGGTCATGGCGGCCAGCCTCAGCGCAGGACAAGCTTATAGTGTCCAAGTCCAAGTTTAGCGCACAGGTGCACTCTCTATTCATTCACTCTCATAATCCGATGGGATGGTAAACCGGAGAGAGATCATGCGAATTCGTTCCGGACACATTCCGTGTAACAAGTTTGCTTTCATGATGAAAAAAAAATTCCGAATTTAGAAACATGCTAGACAATAGAAGATATACAGCACTTGCTCGCGGAGTGTTCCAAAAACCATCACGAAAGGAAACTACTAGTCGCCAAAACTGACATTAAAATATGTAACATAAGTAGGTGAATATCAAAGCATTCTCTCTGAACCATTGTCAAATGGTGTATCATTTAGTTAATATTTTGTATAATAATTAAATAAATTGTACTGTGTTATTTAGTTATAAGGTACGATGGGACTGACATGTTAAAAATAACGTAAGTCGCTAAATTAAAAAAAGTATTAAAAATCTATCTAATTATGTAAGTCAGTGTAAAAGTTTTAAATCGTTCTTTGACTGTTTACACGTAAATTACACTGTTAATATTTGTCAGTACACTGTTATATCTCCACAGCGCGTTTGTGGCACTGGTATCTATATTCAAAGTTTTCACTGTCATATTTTGTTATGAAACAATAAAAACTAAACTTGTCAAAAGTTAAGAAAATGATAAAAAGATTTGTATTGAAAGAAATGAATTTATTATATGTTAAACAGTGTAACATGAAAATTAAAAGTAAATAAAATACAACTCATAAACAAATGAAATTAAGACATAATTATTTCTAATTAAAATAATAAAAATTAAAGGGAGATAGTATTTTACAAATGATGAGGGGATGAGTCGCTCGCGTCCGTAGGCTTCGACCACCTAACCTTAGGCCCACCCTACACGTGTCCCCCGGGTGGTGCTAAACGAGCGACAAAGCCGATAAAATAGACTCGGCTCCTCGCCGTATGGTAGCGGCGTAAAATCTACCACCAACCCTTGTTCGCACCATGACTCAAGAAATAAAAGAAATGGCCCCGAGTTCCCGGCGCCCTTTAAATGGGGCAGGGGTGCGAAGAATCTCCGGGAGAAAAACCGGCGACGAGGTTCGCCACCCGTCACGTTCTGTCTCCCGGAGGAGCGAAAAGTGGATTGCGGAAACCCGTCTGGCTACGCTGAATGTATGTGGAGGAATGAATGATAAGATGGATGAAGTATGCGAAATGATGAATGACAGAGGAATAGATGTGTTATGTGTGAATGAGACGAAACGAAAGGGAAAGGATGCCACTGCACATGGCACGTATACCGCGTATTGGTCTGGTGTAGGCGAGACCGAACGGGCATGCCAGGGAGTCGGTTTCATCCTTTCAGAAAGAATGGGTCAATGTGTGAAAGAGTATGAATGTGTAAGCCCAAGACTGCTATGGATACGAATGAAAGTGGGCTTAAAGAAACTGTTCCTGCTAGGGGTGTACGCCCCAGACATGTCTAAGCCCATTTACATCCGAGAGCAGTTTTGGGACATGGTAAGGATGGTGTTGACAAAATGTAAGGAAAATGAAAATATTATTATGTTAGGAGACTTTAATGGAAGGGTTGGGGTGAAGAGGTCTGGTTATGAAAGGATATTGGGAACGTTTGGTGATGAAAGTATAAATGAGAATGGTGAAGACCTCCTCACCGTATGTGCGGAAAAAGAATCTTTTTGTGACGAATACTTTTTTTCGTCATAAGAAGATTCACATGTATACATGGGAAAGAGGTGATGATAGAAGCATGATAGATTTCGTAATTGTGGATGAAAGAATGAGGAGCGCAGTCGTAGATACAAGGGTTTACCGGGGGTCCAACGTAGGGACGGATCATTACTTGGTCTTATGTCGAATTAATGGTCTTTTCAAGCGTTGGCGGCATCGGACATCTGTATCTAACACTGCGTTACAGCGTATAAGAATAGAGAAGTTACAAGATGAAGATGTGATAGAGAAGTATAAATGTAGACTGAGAGAAAATATTAGATGTTTGAATGAGTTGTGTATGAATGATTTAGACTTGAATACTGTGTGGAATAATATTAAGAAAGGTTTGGTGGATACCGCCACCGAAGTATGCGGTGTAAGTAAGAGAACAAATGAAAGGAAAAGTAATACGTTATGGTGGGATGATGAGGTACGGGTGGAAGTTGAATCAAAGAAGAAAGCATGGTTAGATTTACTAGCAACCAAAGCTGATAATTCTTCTGGTATGAATGATGAGATTGAAAGAAAAAAGGCAGAATTTAGACGTCTAAATAAGAGAGTAAAAGAAGTTGTTGAAAGGAAAAAGAAAGAAAGAACGGATAAGAATGATAGAAGGATATCTGATAATTTCCAGGCTAACATAAAAATGTTCTGGAAACTCGTAAGAACTGCCAGGGGAAATACAAAACAGCCTATAATAAATGCTATAAGAGACGAGAATGGATGTATTCTGAATGACGAAGTTTCGAATTTAAACAGATGGAAAGAATACTTTGAAAGCGTGTTTATGAGTGAAGAGTCGTATGAATTAAATGAACTAGAAATTCCGAAAGAAGTGGAAAGGGGGTATGGAGATAAGTGTAGATGAAATAATGAAAGCAATGAAAAGCATGAAAGCAGGTAAGGCAGCTGGATATGATAAAGTATCACTCGAGATGCTAAGGGCTGGAGAGGGAGTGGTGGTAGGCCTGCTGTACACCTTGTTTAATTTATGTTGGGAATTAAAACGGGTACCGGATGACTGGTGTAAAGCAGTTATAGTACCAATATATAAAGGAAAAGGGTCACAGCAGGACTGCAAAAACTACCGCGGTATCAGCTTGCTTAGTATTGTGGGTAAACTGTATGCTAAGGTGTTAATTGAAAGAGTTATGAAAAAAACTGATGGAAAAATTTGGGATGTGCAAGCGGGTTTTAGAAAGGGAATGGGGTGTACAGATCAAGTCTTTTCCATGCGCATGATTGCGGAGAAGTTTTTGGCCAAAAACCAGAAAGTTTTTTGTGCGTTCATGGACTTGGAAAAGGCTTATGACAGAGTGGACAGGAATGTGTTATGGCAAACACTGAACTCATATGGGTTGAGCGCTGGTTTGATACAGGCATTAAGGTCTCTTTATAGGGACTCTAGTGCTTGTGTCAGGATCAATGGGGTCTACTCGGACTGGTTTGGCATCCAAAAAGGTGTCAGACAGGGCTGTGTGGCTTCCCCTTGGCTGTTCAACCTATTTATGGACCGGTGTTTGCAAACTTTGAAAGATGAAGAATGTGGGTTAAGAATGGGCGAGTTAACCGTCAAATGCCTTTTGTATGCCGATGATCAAGTCATACTTGCGTCATCGGCGGCAGAGTTGCAAATGATGGTTACATTAATGAACTGGGAATTAAAAGAAAGGGGAATGAAAGTGAACGCAAGTAAGACGAAAATTATGGTTTTTGAAAGAGATGAAAGTAAAACGATATGTGAAATAAGAATAGAAGGGGAGTTGATCGAGCAAGTGGATGAGTTTGTGTATTTGGGATGTGTATTTAGCAGGGATGGTAGATATGATAGGGATATAGAACGACGAGTAAATGCAGGGAATAGAGTGAATGGGGCACTACACTCTATTATGAAGAACCAGAATTTGTCGAAACAGGCACGTATGGTAATTCATAATGCTGTGTTAGTCCCTACTTTAATGTATGGTAGTGAAAGCTGGGTGTGGCAGAAGAAGCACGAAAGTAAAATAAATGCTGTAGAAATGCGGTCTTTAAGGAATA